GGCAGAGAGGGCTGCTCAGCACGGAGCTGTAAACAGGAGGGCAGAGAGGACGAGTGTGGTTTACGTGGTGGACACGTTTGTTCCTGCTGTTATGCGTGACGCCGACATGCTGGGGGAAGGCGGTGTGGGCCAAGTGGCTCAGAACACAGGCTGTCCAGGGGAACACGAGCTCACCATCTCTGATCTCTACAGCCACCTTGCAATGACGATTTTTTTTTTTTTTAAAAGATGACCGGTAAGGGGATCTCAACCCTTGGCTTGGTGTTGTCAGCACCACGCTCAGCCAGTGAGCAAAACGGCCAGGATCCGAACCTGCGGCCTTGGTGTTATCAGCACCGCACTCTACCGAGTGAGCCACGGGCTGGCCCGCAATGACGATTTTATCATGAACTTTCCCCAGAGGAGAAAGGCCAGGTTCAGAGAAGTTCTACTTTGGTCAAAGACAGGTAGAAGCAGGTTTAAACCCAGTGTAAGTCCAGGACTCTCTCGACTGCACCTTCTGTCTCCTAAAAGTCTTTTCCCTATATGGGATCCGAACCTGCGGCCTTGGTGTTATCAGCACCGCACTCTACCGAGTGAGCCACGGGCTGGCCCGCAATGACGATTTTATCATGAACTTTCCCCAGAGGAGAAAGGCCAGGTTCAGAGAAGTTCTACTTTGGTCAAAGACAGGTAGAAGCAGGTTTAAACCCAGTGTAAGTCCAGGACTCTCTCGACTGCACCTTCTGTCTCCTAAAAGTCTTTGTTTTCTTTCTAATGGAGAGTGGATTGTGGAGACCGGCTTATGTGGGCTACTTGAGTTCCACGCAGCTATGCAATGTCACAGCTTACTGACCAGTGTGTGCCTGCTGGGGGACCCCCTCTTTGACACCTGGTGGCACCAATCCCCCGAGGCACACTCACAGCCCCAGTAAGCACTGCCTTCGACTCTGCTAGTGGTTTTCCCCAGGCTAGTTTCTGACCGATTGGATGACTTGGCTCTGGGCTGATCTGTGCCCAGCTGTGGTATCTGAAAGGAGCCACTGCCATATTCTGAATTCCAGCCCTCAGGGGAGCTGCCAGCACCTCCGGTTTCTTGCTTTCTCTGGCAGATGGCCGTGATCTGAGAGTTTATGTGATAGCTATCTGATAGTCGTGATGAGGAGAGACACTAGCATCTCATTTTAATAATTAAAAAATCATAAAATATGCCACTTTGAGTACAAAGGCTTCCAAAAGGAGTATGGTGAAGCTGTGTAGTTGCTTTCCACAATGCAGAACATATTGATTTAACCAAAGCACGCTTCATACACATATTTAAGCATCAAAGCATCCCTGGAGACTTATTCTTAACAGTAAAATGTATTGCTTTGTTCAAGATGATTCCACAGTGAAGAGGCATTATAAAGGCAAGAAGAGACAAGAATTATTTATAATTAACGTGCACTCTTTGAATATAAATGAATCCTTGAAAATGGTCGGCTTTCTAAACATCCTAAGTATTCCCCACTGTGATCTTCCGTGAGGTGTGAATCTGTTTAAACAAACTCTTTTTTCTTAGCTAGTGCAAAGGCTAACTTCAGTCCAGCTCTTGCCCAGTTTTCATCAACTCCAAATGCTGATGGTATTTGAATAATCAGACAGAATTGAGCTTTCTGTGTGTAGTCGTGTGCTCTTAAAACTTGGAAGCCATATAGTGTCTCAATATGAAGTGAGACTAGAGAGATTTTATACAAGAATCACCCTCAAGTGTAAATAAAAGATAATTATATTCTATTATGTAGTCATTCATCGCTTAAAGATGGGGATACATTCTGAGAAACGTGTTGTTAGGCGATTTCGTCGTTGCGTGAGCACCACAGAGTGCACTTACACGACCAGGATGGTGCAGCCGACTGCACACCTAGGCTCTATGGTATGGACATTACCATCTTATGGACCACCGTCGTATATACAGTCCGTCATGATCTGAGACGTAACAACCTGGCACGTGACTGTCAGTGTGTCCTTCCACCTCAGACTCAGGTGAGTTACAGGTCATGCTCAGCAGCCACCCCTGTGCCTATGGTAGCAGATCATGGTAACACAGGACTACGTGGAGTGCAGATTGTTAGAACACAGGAGTCACGTAAGGCTCGTTTCTTTTTTATTTCTTCATCACAATGCATCAAGTTCCAATACTGACATGTGGGATAAAATACTGAATTTCTCCTTGTTTTCTAGCAGGACCACAGAGCAGGACATTTGCAGTACTATAAACCTATCACTTTTAAGGTCAGGCATTTAAAGTAGCACAAACCTTTGATGTGGGCTTAAGTTCTGAGTATTATAAAAATAAAGTACAAAGTAGGGACTTGCTTCAAAGACACTCCAGTCTCCAGAGTCCTTCTTATGTGTGAAGTGCTGATGATTTGGGATCATTTCTTTAATAAACACATCTCAAAGCTAGCAAGCAAAGTGGGGCATTTAGAAAGCCAGGAAAATAAGCCTATGCATAAAATATGACATTAAAAAGGTAACTGTGAACTTTACAGAGGGACTAGTGTGCAAAAAGCTTCTTTTGTGAGGGTGGATGTGAGAGCTTGCAGCTCTTTGCTGCAAAAAATAAGAGCAGAAACTTAAGTTGTTTAGTTGTTTTGAAATAACAGCTACAGAGAGGGCTCTTTCTAGTTCATCCATATTTTATTAGAGCAGCAGTTAAAAAATTCATTAGAGACACCCATCTGTAGCTAGCAGCACCCTTGGGGGGGTTCAGATGGCAATCAGATTTTTGAGTCACACTTTACACAAAAAGAAAAAGACTATCGTTTATAAGGATTGATAGCACAGCGGGGAGAGGCTGCTCGGTGCATTTCAGAGCGTAGCCTTCCACGTGGTTTATGAATCTCTTGCTGGTGAATTTTTCAACCACCTGTTTCAGCTGGGAGGAGATAAAGAGGGAGGTGTAAAAAGGAGAGAAAAGAGAACATAGAAAATTGGATCAGAGAGTTGGGAATGAATTGGTCAGTGGAGTGACCACGTGGCCTGCGCTGGGCACTCGCTGGTGTGCAGGTGGTATTGGCCCCTGGAGCTTGTTAGTACAGAAAAGGCTGTGGTCAGGGCCGAGGCTGCTGTGCTTTACCTTCGCCTCCATGGGGGTCACATCCTGCTGCCTTTGCTTCAGGAGGATGTTCCTGTCTTTACTCCTGAACTGTAAATAACAGCAGTTATGGAATGGGGATGTGGGAGAGGAGACGTTCCCTCTCTCCTGCTAGGCTCCCCAGATGGCCTATGAAACGACAACAGCCAGATTAACAGGAGGAAAGGCACACTCGTTTATTAATTTTTTAATATATGCACAGGAGCATCAGATGAAAAAATAACGATCGGCCAAGAGTGTATGTGCAGGAGAAGGGGAGGGGGGCGTAGGCCGCTTAAGGGAGAGTAAGTGATTTTTAGGAACAGGCTGTTAGAAGAATAGATGGGAGAGGTGAGAGTTGGTGACAAAGGCTGTGGTCTCCTCTCCTGTGATATGAGACCATTCTCCTGGTGGCTGAGACTCCAGGTGAGGGGATTCCTTTGGAGCATCTGTCTTCAGGCAGATAAGGGGAGTTCAGAGAAAGCCCCTGCTGCATTTGCTGTGTTTCAAATGCCTTCAGCTCACGATAATCCATGTACCAAAATGGCATATTTTGGGGTGGCATTTTTGGTTTTCTCCAGGAACTCTGCACCAGGCACAGAATAGTGCAGTTAAAACCATAATCTCGGGCCGGCCCGGTGGCGCACTGCTACAGTGCGCCACTTGGGAGCGCGGTGGCGCTCCCGCCAAGGGTTCGGATCCCACATACAGACCGGTTCCCGCTCACTGGCTGAGCGAGTTGCGGGTGCGGTGCTGAGGGTTGCGATCCCGTTGCCAGTCATGAAAAAAGACAAAAAGGAAAAAAAAAACAAACAAAAAAAACATAATCTCACCCTACCAGCAATTCTGTGAGCTGGAGTCCCACTTTACAGATGAGGTAATGGAAGTAACAGGGGGACAGTCACCTGCCCGCACCACCCACAAATGGCAGAGCTAAATTTTAAGCTCAGGCAACCTGTGTACAGAGCCTGTACCCTGTATGACTGCAAAGTACAGGTCCATAAGCCGTGTGTGTGTGGACATGTTTGATAAACGTTTCATTTTGGGATAGTTATAGCTTCATAGAAAGGTGGTGAAGACAGTACTGAGTTCCCTTCCCCCACCTCCTGTAATGCTAGAACCACGTATAATCTCGGCACATTGGTTAAGACTCAGAAATTAGCACTGGTACAAGGAACTAAACTGATCTTACTGGGGTTTCACCAGTTTTTCCACCAATACACTCTTCCTCTTTCAGGATCTACTATAGGACCCCATGCTGCACGTCTCCTGTGTGGGTTTTGACCCTTAAAAAACTGCTGGCTGGCTGGGCGCCCCTCCCTTGATCCTGCCTACAGATTTGGGAAGTGTGATCAAACAGCAGCTCAGGCCTCCGGCTCCTTCCTCCTGGGGGGGCCCAAACCCCCATTGTCTGATGAAAACGGAAATCCTATTTGGGGTAGAAGATTTAGAACAGATGTATGGAGACAAATTTTAAACACAGATCACACGTTGTCCACATGGAGCAGTTAGCAGCCAAAGCCACATTTCAAGAATCAGAAAAAGGTTGGCGGCAAGAGAAGATTCTCCAAAGAAACAACCTCTGCGGTGCTGTGAGCTTTAAGTGTATGATGCATTTGAATTGCAAGTGTAGTAGGATGTCAAACAGGACTTTCCCTTAAAATGGAGGTTCCAGGCCTGGCTGCTCACTGGAGTCCCCAGGGGAGCTTCGAAAAGACCCACCCCCTGAGCTTGTGATTGCATCGGTCTTGGGTGTGGCCTGGATTTCGGAAATTTTAAGATACCCCGGTGATTCTAATGCACTGCCCCGAAGTCTCAATGTGTCAGCTGAAGAACTTCAGCTGGGGATGGCAGGTGACAAGGTCCACACACTGCAAGGAGTGGTGCTTGACATGCGGGATGCATGGAGCCTGCCTGGCACCTGCGACCCACACTTCTTGGAACCACCACACAGCTTCCTCAGCCGGTGCTGTCGCTTCTTCCCCAGGCCCTCTTCTTGCAGGGCCTCGCCTTCTTAGGTGGCATTATCGAGTCCTCTGGCTTCATTGCTGACTGGCCTGCCACGTGGCTCCAGTGCTCTTCTCTACAGCGCAGGGTCCACTTTGCCCCATCCCTGGGCCCCGGCCCCTGCATGTGGGCCACCCTGTCCTGCCCCCACCTGCCATGGGCCTCACTGTGCCTGAGCCTGGCCGTCCTGAACCTCCTTGAGCTGGCGCACCCAGCCCCCGTCTCCTGCGTCCGTTCCCCGTGCTCGCTTTCCCTCCACCACAGTCACCACCCCTCCTTCAGTCCCCCTCCAGGTCACCTCCTGGCTGTGGAGGTGGAGCTGCCGCAGCCTGGCTTGTCTTCTCCTGGAGCCGTGCAGTCCTCGATGGCAGGGACTGTGAGTTTGCAACATTATTACTGACTGTTTCACAGCTATAAAAATTATATAATTACAGGGCTGCTAGATATTTATACACAGGTTTTACATGTACTGTTTGAGGACAATGCAATCAGCACCCGTGTAACCACCACTTGGCTTAACAAGTGGAACGTGGCCCTCGAGTGCTGTGTAATGACGCACGTCCTTCCCGGGTGCTGTTGGAGGTAAGGCCGCGTGCACTGGGGCAGGGATCCGCTGGCCAGAACATGGAACGCTGTCCCGAGGTCCCCCGCACGTCACGTTAAGACCGGTTTACGGTGTCATTCTTCTGCTTTTCTTTATGTTTTTAGTGCACATCGACTCCTGTCTGTCTCCTGTGTTCCAAGCACAACAGTCTCTCCAGTTTCACTGACTCAGGCTGAGGCTGTAGCTGGTTCAGTCGCACTTCAGTGTGGGACTAGCCCTCCTGATGGTTAGAAGGAAGCTGTGTCTGCAGCCTGGACGTTGGAGCTCTAGCATTTGGGTGACCCGGAGGCTGGCAGGGAACAGACAGGGTGCTGCACTCCTCGTGGTCTGCAAGCCTGGGGTCTGCACCACAGGCTGCTCAGCTTTGAAGATCACAGACAGGCTGGAGTGGGGCATTGTGGCTCTGCTTGCCAAGGGCAGCTGGGGACTCATGACACGCAGGGGAACAGTCTGCCTTTCAGGGGACAAACCTTATCGGTTTGTGATTTGAGATGTCAGAAGCCCAGTGCCCGATGTGTGGCAACTCTTGATGCACCTGCCCGGCGGGCAGATTTGAAAGGAAGGACTTCTCCGCTTGTGTAGGAGTCTCTCTCTCTCCATCTGCATGTCTGCAACTTTCTGTCTATCTATGTACTTCTGTTCCCTGTACATGTTTATGTGCAGACACACACACCTACATTTCTGTTTGTATTTTTCACATGCGCACACACACACGCAATGGTTTCTTCATGCACATGAGAATGTATTTTCTGTGGGACTTTCAATTTTAGGCCAGACTTCGGCTTATGAGGTTGAATTAATTAATGAATTCATAGTGACAGATTGCGGACAGGTGGTTGCCAGGGGCTGGGGGAGGAAGAGTGGGGGTTCGTGTTTAATGGGTATCATGTTTCAGTTTGGGAAGATGAAAGGTTCTGGAGGTGGACGCTGGTGATGTTTGTACAACTCTGTGAATGTACCTGATGCCACATAACTGTGCCCTTAAACATGGCAAAAAAATGGTAAATTTTATGTATATGTTACCACGATTAAAAAAAAGTAAAAAAGTCATGGGGGGAATAAGTGGAAACCTAGGGGAGTTCCAAACTCACGTGCATTCCAAGATGTTGTGAACTATGAATTAGCAGAGTAGGGATTGATTCGATTTTACTTTTATATATTTTGGTGGACATTTCTGGAGATAAAGAGAGAAGAGTGGGATAATTCCACTTCTACCTCAGTTCCAGGCCTTCTCTCTGTTACGGCCCTAGTGCTCGCACACGTACGGCAAATGAGTGTGCTCGTGTGTGTGCTTGCAAGCATGGACTGTGGCTGGCAGGCTCGCTCTTCCACTTCTGGTATTTCTGTGCTACCTTATGAATAGGCGAGTTGTAGGACCGTGCCTCTGGCTGTGACCCCGACCTCCCTTAGTGCTTCTGGACTCAAACTGAGTAACTCACAAGAGTCGGGGCTGACCCATGGCGCTGATTTTCTCAAAAGGCAACACAAGCCTTTTGTTTTTGGTAGAAGTTAAAGATGTATTTGTGACAGCCCTCTCTTCTTTCTCAGCAAATGCAGCAACATTCTTCCGTCTGGTCCCACAGGTGGTTTTTGGGGTGGCACGTATGTTGAGGAGTGCTCCGCAGCTCCTGGAGATGCCTTGCTGAAGGCCTGAGGACCATCAGATAAACCATCAGAGCTCACCACATCACTCCATTGATGTAACTTCAAATTGAATTCCCCTGTGGTTGAAGTAGCATGTTCCTTTCCTGAAACGTTTTTTTGTATGTGTGACCGATGCCCCCGCTAGATCACAAGCAGGTGGAGGTGGGGTGGGGTCTTGCTTATGTCTGCATCCCTGCATGGCATCTGGGAATTGTGTTGTTGAAATGGATGCACGATTAACATGGGAACACAATAGGGTTGATTTATTCCACGCCAGGACTGCACCTGCTCCCTGTGACAGTGACCCTAAGGCACTGCAGAATCTTCAAGTGCTTTCTGAATTATCCAAGAAAGATGAACTTGTGCTCAGTAGTTAATGCTTAGTGCACATTGTTGGATCTGGATTTTTTGGAAGCAAGTTAATCCACAGGAGTGCATGGTTTCTTTATGGTTCTGAATCTTTGGTTAACCCGAACGTCCTATAAAGATCTTACACCCCAACCACACCAGATAGAATGACAATTCCTTGCATGAAAGAACATATTCACATGTGCTTCTGCTGTACATTTGCACCCGAGTCGTGCTTGTAAGATCTGTGCATCCTTATTCGTCTCTCGCTATTTCGCGCATTCTCGGCAGCACCTCTAAGTCCGAGCACTTCCCCTCCAGGAGGCCCACGTTCCTTCCCTGCAGAGCCTCAGGATCAGTGAGGCACAGGGCAGCCACCTGACCTGCCTACACCCACGGGCCTTTTGTGTACATTTTACCTTTGGGCCTTGGCTTGAAGATCTTCTAAGTCAATTCATGAGTATTATATTTTCTTAAACTGCATATTTGGAAAAGAATATTATCTGGCCAAGGCGTATTTTAATCCCTTCTCCATATACTGTATACACGGGGTCTTCAAAAAGGTCATGGAAAGATTTCTACTATCCTTTAATTTCATTTTTCTGTGAAAAATGTACCCTGGTACTAGGATTGTTTTGGAATTATGAGGACCTCAGGAAGCTTAGACATAGCATAAGTTGGAACAATTCATAGAAAGAAGGTAACCGGTGGTGCTGGGTGTTTACAATAAAAGTTGTGGACCTGGTTTGGGGGGATTCCAGAACCCTTGGCTGAGTGGCTTTAGAAGAGGCTACTCAGGCCAAAGTGCCTTCAGGCTCTGGAAAAGAAATGACACTTTAAACAAATTATTTTCCACTTAGCATTGATCCTTTAACTCCAGAAGGGTTATTTAGATGAGTGGTCCTTTGATAAAATAATAAAGTTTTGTTAAGCCAAAAAACAATATAGATTTCACTGGACTCATTTTTCAAGACACGAAATTGTTGAATTGTTTTCCTTTGGTAACTGAAGCCAGAATTCCATGTTCTCTCTGACTTCTTTTTAGGTCCCTTGTTCTGTAGAGAGCGCTTTGCCCGTTTCACAGGGGGCACGAGCATTGGTCCCTCTTTGGGCCTCCGTCTGTGCCCTCCCGTGCCCCGGCTGCCCTGTTCTGATGGCTCCCCCTGCTGGTTGGGGTCCCTGTCGGGCCAGAGCACACGGTGACCCCATTTGGCCAGTGAAGGATTCCATCTGTACATTTTCATCGTGTCCTTCTCTACTGGCTCTAACTTGGCATGGCCTCTGTCATGAAGAGGACAGAGAAGTAAAGCTTTCTCCTGCCTTCCCGTCATTTCACGCTGGCAGCCCGACTGGTACACTTGGAGGCAAAGGAAGTAGAGAGAGCACGTGGTTTACAATCAGACAAGCCTCGGGTCCCATCTGGGCTTTGGGAGACCCTGATCTGGGAGTTCGGGGCAAGTTAAAGCTTTCTTAGTTTTAATTTTGTCATTTATAAGATGTGACTGGCACCAAACCTGCAGGCCGTAGAGTTGAAGGCCTCCCCCCTCCCCTTACCCTGGCGTCCTCTCCCCTCCCTCGTGACCCTTGCTTCCATCCCCTCCCTGCCACTGCTCATTTCGGAATCCTAGGTATGCCGGGGCATTGGCCATGCTGGGCATCCTGCAGGTGGCACAAGCAGGTCACTGGTGAGCATGTCTTGTGCTGTATTGTCTGCAGACGCTCAGGGGACAGGTGGCCATGGGTCATCATGCTCATATCCCTGGGGATTATCAATGCTTCCTGGGACTGGCATGTGCCATGATCGTAGCTCAGTGGGGTCCTCAGTGCCTAGCGGTTTCTGTTAACACGACAAAGATCCCAGACTGCGTATGTTCTGGGAGGCAGAGCAGGACATGTGGGCCTGGGCAAGGCTTAGTTCCACCTGTCACATGGGTACTGGCAGTACCACGGCTGTGTCTGGTGCCTCCTGATTTTGCTCCGATGCCTTCTGTCTCTCTGATTTGTGATGCGGCAGGGCCTGGGGGGAGAGCACTGTGTGGGCCTGCCAAGTCGGGGGACGCTGGCCTGGTCACTTGGCCTCTTGCAGGGCTCTCTGGATCTCAGTTGCCTTAACTATAAAAGGAAAGTTATAATTCCTGGTCTGGTTGACTCACATGGTTTTGGTAGGGAACAAATGAGACTAATGTACATGAAAACACATTATGAGTAGCAAAAGGCTATGCAGTGTAACATAATGTCGAACATTTTTATCACAGTTGTTACATGTGCTGGGGAGGCTGCTCTAAGCTGCCTACATAGAGTAGTTTAGTTTAATGCTATTATGGCAACCCTATGAGACCCTTCTCCATTTTACTGATAAGGAAACAGAGGCACAGAGAAGTTAGTAAGTTGCAGAAGGTCATACAGCCAGCAAGTGGTACGTACAGTCAGGGTTTGAGCCAGGCAGTGAGGTGTCAGCATTTGTTCTAGGTCCTATTCCTCCAGCACAGCTGGGAGGGCAACACAGAGCCTGGTGTGGGGGACACCTCAAGCAGGCTCCTGTAATCCACTGGCTGGGGGGAAGTGACAGTCCACATGGTGCCACGGCAGCTGTGCATGGTCCGCAGCAGCGGGTCAGGCACGCAGGGACGTGGAGAGCTCAGGCAATGAAAATCCAGTGTTCAGTGAGTCCCTGGAATGAGTGATTGGATCTAATTTTGAGGCCCGCTGTGGGATTCCAGTTTCAGATCATTTGCTTTCCACAATGGAAGGGCCCATGTGACAAGAAAGACCAGGAGCCACCGTGGCAGTGCCTGTAGTTCCTGCCGACTTGCATCAGGGCACAACCATACCGAGCCAGCTGCCCTGCTGGATGGGGGTGCTGGGAGCCCTGCGGATTTCTGTACCATCATGGCAAATGCTTCCCGAGGATCACCAGGACTTTCACACTGGGTTGGCCTGGCACCACTGAGCCAGGGTCTGTCTTTGACAGGTGCATGGTGAGGTGCCCTCTAGATCTAGGGCTGTCTTCCAATCGCAGCTCCCACCAGCCAGGGTGGCCGTGTGCTCATGGTGCCCTCTTCTCTGCCCCTAGGCAGCCGGGACTGCTTGCCACTGGCAGCGTTGCCCTGGAGGCAGCAGCTGGCATGGAAGCCAGGCTACATGAGAAGTGTGTCTGGGCCCAGGATCGGGCTCCTCTCCCCAGCTGCGGGCATGCCGCTCTGGGTCCCAGGAGGGGTGTGCGGAGAGGAGGCCCACTGCTCCGAGTCCCAGGCCCGCTGGTTCAGCCTTGACCCGGGAGGCCAGTGGCAAGGCCCCTCGGTGGGGAGCCCGGTCTCCAGGAGCACAACGGCCTCTGCTGTGATCCCTGCGAGAAGAACCACCCCACGCTTTGGGGTTCAGCTCAGAGCTGGCACCAGACTGCCCGATGTGCTGACTGGGCTGCGTGGCTGCAGGGATGTAGGGCGTCAGGAGGAGTTTTCTCCCATGGACAGTCCTGAGGCCCCTCCTGACTCCCAGGATGCCGTTGCCTCAAGCTTCGGCTTCATGCAGCTCTCACTTGGTCCTGCTGGGCAACGTGGAGAAGCAGAAGGCTGCCCACCCCCCAGAGAGGTCAAGCCCCCCCTCCAGAACCCCCTGGTGACAGGACCGGAAGCTGCCAGCTTGAACAGGCCCCGCTGAGGACCCATCGAGAGTCCTTCAGTCTCATGGCCACTTGCGGCTCAGCAGGGAGCAGCTCCAGGCCAGAGCGCGAGATCTTTTGATACTGGACATGGACACAGGCTCCTACCGCTCCCCAGATCCCTCGTTGACTGGGTCCAGTTGTGACCCGGGTGGCAGCTCGGGGATGCCCACTGTTGGGACACCCTGCTCAGGATGTGGGAGCCTGTGCTTCGAGACTGCCTGCTGAGCAACTGGAGGCAGGTGGAGGTCAGTGTCCCCTCCGCCTCAGCCCATGATTGTCATGAGCTCGGATTAGCGCTGGGCAGAGGGCAGGGAGCCAGGGGTGCTGGGCCGGGCCGATGTCCCCCTGGAGGCTGTAGCAGTTCCTTCTGTGGCCGGCTGCAGAAAGAGACTGGAGTTCCTCTGTCTCCTCTCTTTCCCTGTGAACACAAATCTGCTCTCCTTTCATCCTCTCTGTCACCTAAGGGCTCAGATTTGCACGCCGGTGGGCTGCAGGCTCCTCTGCAGCCCCTGGCCTAGGCAAGATGTGGCTCGCTCAGCCTAGCTCTACTTTGAAATGGGAAACCGAGCAGGGGCGGGGGAGACTTAGCTGGCTGAGGTTTGGAAGGGGTTGACAGAGGTAAAAATGGGGACCCCTTGCATTGGGGTGATCCTGATCTTACCTGCGTTTCCTTCACTCACTCCCTTCCATAGACTCAGGAGACTTGGTGTCTGGTCAGTAAACCTCCCAGGCCCTCGGTTCTCTTAGACAGAGATGACGTAGGAGTGTTCCGATGCTCAAATGGGAATGGGGGGGCTTTGGAAATTAGGACAAGCTGGGTACACGTGACGTTGCTGTCCACCCAGTTACCTGACAGGTGGGTATAGCTGGGAGCAGGCAGGGTTGTTCTACCCCCAAAATGCCAGAGTAACCCAGTTTGAGATACTCTGTGGCTGACCTATGGGGCCGTGTGGCTCATCCCACTGAAAGGCTGTGTTTGGATTCTGGTGTGTGCACGTGTACATGCGTGTGCTGGTGCTCATGTGCACGTGAGTAGGGAAATCAAGCACGCTCCCATCAGGCGTGTGGTAGGAGCATCTGGAAATGCGAAGTTCACGGGCATTGCCTGCAACCGCATCTCATCTGCTGCCGGCTCTTTAGGGCAGCCTGATGTTCCTGGCCCATCCCTGTTTGCCCTGTTCTGGCCCTCAGGGATCTCAGCCCAGCCCTGCGATGTATGACTCAGGGAGACAGTGAAGCCAGTGCAGATACAGGTCTCTGCTCCCCAGCGATGCATGGAATCCTTTGGTTAGACATGTCCCAAACCGATGCCGTCGTCTTCCCCACAAACCTGTCCTAAAGGGCCTTATTAGTGATAAACGTTTACCGATTTGAATGAGTAGAATCCATCCAGTCCCTCAGGGCAGACACTACAACCATCTCCTACACCCCTCTCTCCCTCGTCCCCACAGCTGGCCGGTCTCCAAGCCCTCTCGGTCCTACCGCTAACCTGCCTCTCACGGCCATGGCCACTTCCCTGGCTTGTGTCCGTGCTCTCTTTCACCTGGATTTTGGAAGAGGTTCTTGAGGCAGCTGCCTTCCTCCGGGGTCTGTCTTCTCCAGTTACCCTCCGTGTGGCCAGCAGAGTTATTATCTTCCTGCAACACTGGCATTATTCCCTGGCTTAACACCTCTGGAGGCTCATTGCTGCTGTCAGGATAGCATCTGGGTTCCTTTTCCTGACATTCAAGACCTTTCCCAACCTGCCCCCAGCAGCCCCGGCACCTTACTCCTGCTGACTGCAGCCATGTGGTGCTGAAGACACTGGAAAACATGTCTCAGGCCTCCGCTCATGTTTTCCCTTTGCCCGGAATGCCCTTCCTACAGCCAGTGCCACCCCACCCTGCCCCCATATCCGGTGGTCTCTGGGATTCCCTGTGCTGACTGCCCTGGGATAAGTCTGAAAGTCCGTCTTTGCTGGAAGCACGTGCCCATGTCTCACACCCACGCCACCTGCCAAGCTCCCTTCTGGCACCGTTCCAAAGCCGCCTCTTAGTGAGGCTCTTCCTACCCCTTCTAGAACAAGAGCATCTCTCCTGCCTTTTCGCTGCTGTAGCACATTGGACATGCCTGTTACAGCACTCAGCCCTTCTAAGAATAATTTGTTTGTGGGTCCAAGTTCCCCATGCAACCACGAGCTCCCCAACCACAGGTCACTTCTCTTCAAAATAATTAATCTTGTTAAGACGGGCCACGCATAGCTGATGGACGGACTTCTTGGGTTGAGCATCTGAGGCAGAAGAGAGTCTGAGAGGCAGACACACAAAGGACAAAGACGCTAAGCAGAGTTGACATTATCGCACTTCTCCAACTCCAGATGTCGGTCTTCAACACTGCACTTCAGAGACCTTTATAACAATCTCAGTAACGTGTCTGCGTTTCTCCATCTCAGAAATCTGAGTTTTGAGTGAGGCAAGGCAGAAGTTAGAAGGCTGCTGTGAAGTCCAGCCTCCCTCCCTCCCAGGTAGCCAAACCAACAGAAACTTGCCTTGGCAGCCGTTCCCCTGTAATCCACAAGATGTGGCCCTCTGGGTTCTGGTAGCTATGATGATTTCTTTTCTCCTTTTGACTCCTTTTACCCAGATATAGAGATCACGTCCTCCTGAGAACCCAGAGCTCTGGATACGCTGGACCTGGGAAGCCTCCCAGGGCCCCCACCGTGCCCAGGGCTCACCACACCCCTCTCTCAACCACCAGCTCCCTGGAGGGCCTGGGGGCTGAACTTCCAGGGGCTGTGGCTCAACTCACCTTTTGCAGTTTATGAGTTTTAGTTTTAGGAAGAAACTCAACCAACCTAAACACCTCCCTTCCTGTCTCCTTTCTTGTTACCCAAACTCGCCTTTTAAAAAGCAAATCATTGGCCGTAACCTGCTGATTTGCCTCCCACGGATTTGTCACCCCTTTTCCCTTGGGTGATGGAGCCATCAAATATTACTCAAAGCCCATCTCTTCTGAGCAGTGAGAAGCCCCCAAAAGGGGTTAATCTCCTGGAACCCTCAAGAGCGAGGCATTCCTTCCATTTGGGAAATTAACCACAAATTGGGGTTCTCTTCCCACCTTTATTCTCCAGACCAGCAAGTTACAGGAAGAGAACATAGGTGGGGTTTTTTCTAAGTATAGTTTAACAAGTTTAACAATAGAAGCCAGTAACATTCAGTAAGACAAGCAAGGTGACATTCTATAATGCAATTAAGTTGATCCACTAACAAAAGCTTGATTTTAGCAAATATTTTCTTCTTACATCAATTTCCCAGTATCTTCACATATCCATCAGTAACCTGTCTGTCTTTGAACCAGCAACCTTGCTGTGTTACAATTCTTTATCTTACAACAGAGACTATAGCCTGGGGAAAATTTTCTGTCCTTTGCAAGGTCAACATTTGAAACTGCAAGGCTTCGGAAAACCAGGCCCTGTGAAGTACATTGGTTTTATGCATACTCCACAATAACCCACTCGAAGGTCATTCCAGGGGAGGAAATGTGTGGTTGCTGCTGGATCCCCAGTGAGGCTTACACGCAGGGTGCCGTGTCGGCCACATACTTCCTGTACCACTGGGATGCTTGAGGGGGAGCCCTGTGGCCCATGGGCTCCTGCTGGGGCACGTGCTGTTCCACAGAGCTCTGCAGTGTGGGGGGTTAGTAGGACAACCTGCGTGGGTAGCCTGGTGCTTTTGCTTCTACCTGTGTGACCTTAGGCAATTCACTTGGTTCTGGGCCTCAATGTGCTCCTGCATAACATGGAGATAACAACAGTCCCTACCTCATCAGATCAGGATTAAATGTGTTCACACGTGCACATTGCTCACCAAGCACGTACCCAGGACATTGCCCATTATTATTTTTAGAGAAATAGCTCCCATTAAGAATTTGAGCCGAAAGAAAACTAAGTTCTCCCTTCTGCCCACACCTTGAATTAAACTTGCATCTTGTCTCAAATGATACGATATGGACACCATTTATCTGTGGTTTAAGTGTCATTGCCTATGGTAACTCAACAGGGGATGCATGACGCTATCTGCGGATTATTTGAATGTCTGTGGTCTGCAGAGAATTGACTTCATTCACAGTAGTGCAAATGACAGGAGGAACTTTGTCCAGGGCGTGGGACTCAAAGGAAGCAGATTTTCTTTCAACGGAAGGAAGAAAGAACCTCCTGACTGGGAGTTGCCCAAAGTGCGGACGGCTGCTTGGGGAGACAGCTTTTGCCATTGGGGTTATGCAGATGCCCGAGATTGCTCACTGGGGATATGGGTGAGGCCCTCAGGACTGGGCAGAAGGCTGAGTTAAGGATCTTCAAAAACATCCTTTGAAACATTGGGATTCTAGTGTTCTGGAGCCTTGTATGGCAAATATAGGAAAACGGTCAGGCCCCTCAGATGTTCAGAATCTTGCCAAGCATTTGATATAGTTATGCACCTGTGCTCAGGTGTTCTTTGGCTATTGTCTACTGTAATTGCTTGTGTGCGCCCAGGTGTCCTGTGTTATGGACTTAAGTATAAAGGATGAGTGGCTCTGATCTATGGGGTCCTCTGCCCCCAGGATGCCCCCAGGGGGGCCACGGAGAGGCCACTACTGCTGCTGGAGGCTGTTGCTGCAAGCTGTTGCTGCCAGTGTCCCCTGGATGCCCTGAGAGGCCACCACCGCTCCTGCTGCTGCTACTGCTGAGGACTGAGCTTGTGTCATCCACCAATGGCTCCCAGGATCTTTCCCAATTACCTAGTGTAGACCTGCATAAGAGGGGTCTGGGGACCCAGTCTGTACAATGAGTTTGAAGCTTGAGCCCTGGCAATACAAATGAAAACTTAGTGTAACTGAAATAATGAAGTGTTTTGGCTTTAGTTATGAAATGCCTAGCCATACAATTAGCGTAGCTTATGGCCATAACCCTACAACTGGTGTAGTTGTGTAGCTTTACAGGCCTTTTTGATATTATATGTTAATTCCTTAACCTCCTCTTCCTTCTATTTAAATAAAATTGCAAATCTCAGGAATTTAAGTTTCAGCTCCTTTTAAAACATGGTTGATCCTCAGTATTCCTGGATCTATATTTGCAAATTCGCCTACTTGCTAACGTGTACTGGCAACTCCAAAATCGATACCCACAGCACTTTCATGGTCATTTTTGGACATGCACAGAGCGGCAAAAAATTGGTCACCTGCTGGGCACGTTCCCAGCTGGGGCAATGCTCTGCCGTCTCACTTTGGCTCCTGCACTGCCAACAAGTGTCCTTTTCACGGCCTGTTGAGTGCTGTGTTTTTCACATTTTTGTGCTTTATTTTGGGGGTGATTTTGCTGTGTAAAATGGCCCCCAAGTGCACTGCTGAAGTGCTGTCTGGTGTTCTAAGTGCAAGAAGGCCGGCATGTGCCTCGTGGAGAGAACACGGGTGTGAGATGAGCTTCATTCAGGCGGGAGTCATATGATACTGATCATGAGTTCAATGTGAATGGATCAGCAATACATATTAAATAAGGTGTCTTTGAAAAAACACACATAGGACATGGGTACATATTGATGGGTTGGTGAAAATGCTGTGACCAGAGGTTTGCAGGAACCTACCCTGTATTTTCCCTAGGAGCAGTGCTGTCGTACTCCCTAATTCAGTGTTTGAGGTGACTTCATAGACCAGAACGACCACGAGTAATGAGCTGCCGGGGGACACTGTGGGGTTACCTGGGAGTGAGAAAACTGCGACTGGACCAGATGCCAACAGGCAAGCAGAGCAGGGAAGTGCGGCGAGCTCTGCAAGGTAGCTCCCCCCACCCCCTGCAAGGTCGTGGAAGCTGGCAAAAAGTAAAGAAGCTGCCTGCCTGGCGTGGGTGTGGCACGTGTGGGACACGGGCACAAGCTTCCGGCAAAGGTGGACTTTCAGACGTATCCCAGGGCCATCCGAACAGGGAATTACAGAGACCGCTGGATGAGGGGGCAGGGCGGGGTGGCACTGGCTGTGAGTGGATTCTTGTTTGACCTTCTTTCCTTTATTTCTTCTAGTTCAGGTCTAGTAAGTGCTTAAGAGTGTCACCATTTGGGCGTGGTGATGGTAATGCTACAGCGTTATATGGCAACTAAACCATCTACGTGGCCTTTCTTCTATCCCTAATATAGAGGACTACATGACTGGTAAAATTCGCGGTTGTAATATGGAGCGATTCAAGGACAGAGGGGCCACTGTGATCACTCATTCATTCACGCAGACATTTCTCACCGAGGGCTGCTAGTGCAGAGCCTCCCACCAGGCTTTGGAGATTGTTTTGGTTAGGATGGGCTAGTGACAAACTGCAACCCTACATCAGACGCTCAGCACAGCGAAACTGTGTGTCTTGCTTATGCTTCATGTGCCACAGAGGATTTTGGGGGCCCAGCTCTATGGGGTCATTCAGGAACCCAGCCTTCCCCATCAGAACATGTGCCCTCTTAGGCACTGAGACAGTGAAAAGAACGGGAGGGAGTCCTACACAAGCAATTCCGTGCTTCAGCACAGAAGTGACCCCGTCACTTCCACGCACCCCCATTTCCAAGCACAACAAGGGGGAGGCAGGTGTAATCATTCCACACGGCTAGAGCAGTGGAGACCCCAAGGGAGGGTGACCACCAGCCTCTTCTATACAGATGTAGAATAGCTCCTGCCCTGCGGACACTCAAGGTCGAATGGAGGACACAGACAAAGCAAACAAAACAAAATGAAAGATGGCTCTAACATGGTGTGATGCCTCCCAAGACAATTTCTTGCAACTTCATTCTTCCAGTGGCTCTGACCGAAAGCCTGGGCATCAGTCTGACACCTTTGACACTCACCTGTGATTTATTAGCAAAGCCTATTGGCTCGATCTTCAACCTGCACCTGCTGAATACACCCAGAATCAGACCCCTTCTCGCCACCTCCCTGCTGCCTCTGTAGTCACTCTCGTCCCCGCTCCCTCGTCTCCAGCCAGGCTTATCCCATGGCCTCCACCTGGCTCCCTCTGCCCTGACCCACGGCAGCCAGAATGATCCTGGTAAAACATCAACCGCATCACGTGCTCTTTTGCCCCAAACCCTCCAAGGGCTCCCCCGGGACCTCCTCAGGTAAAACCAGAACTTGTAGGTGGTCTTCACGTCTCTTCTCTAGGCAGTCCTCAAGACCCCTGTGACATCAGCTTCCACAGCTTCCCTCCGTCCGCCCTGTGCCCGGTGGTCTTCCTGCTGTCCCTGTGCAGTGCCAGGAGCCTTCAGCCCAGAGCCTCTGTGCCGGCTCTTCCCCCGGGCAGCTCATGGTTCACTCCCTTCCCACTTTGATGTCTCTGCTTGAATGTCACCTTCTCAATGAGGTGGCATTTAAAATTGCGAGCCCACCCTCAATCAGCGTTCCCGATCTCCCTTATGTAGGTCTACGTTTTTCTTTTTTCACAGCACTAATCACTTTCTAAGGTGCCACAGAGCTTTCTTATGACCTTTATTTATTTATTTTGTCTAGAATGGAAATGTAGAGGGCTAGGAATTTTGTGCTGTATCCCCAGCACCTCAAACAGTGCCTGAGACCTAGGAGGCACTCAGTCAGTATTTGTTGAATCTATCTATGACTAGCAAGTACAGGTCACCGTGGTGGTGTAGAGAAAGGACACAGCACAGACTGGGGGAGGGACACTGAGCTAGGTGTGGGGGGAGATTTCAGGGAAGAAGTGCAAATCCACGCACTGATGTCAGTGATCCGTGAATCCATTGTCAGGAAATCCCTGGGCCTCCCGTTAAGAAGGAAATTAATTATGAGTGAACTTATTGATAATCCTCAGGTGTGTGATTGGGCCCCTGAGTCCATATGTGGGTTTTCTATACTGGAGGGTACTTGAACCTCGGGACTTCTCGGAGGGTTCTGTGAGGGCCTTCCTGGCATTCTCCCCAGTCTTGAGGACCCCCTGCTAAGCTTACGTTCCTGCTCCTCTTCTCTGGGTTTCTCTTCCAATTTTGGAGTGTTTACCTTCACAATCTTAATGTGACTTTTAGAACAGAGACCATGTGGTCAGGAAATCCATATTCCTTCTCATTACGCATTTCTTCATGCAGATGAGGGCCCAGCGTGAAGTTTTCATTTAAAATAACATTCTAACTTTTTATGTGGATTTTATGCTCGAGTTACACTTTTTCTTTATATAACCTGTTTTGAGAAACTAATGCATCTGGCATGGGAAACATGTACATTTGTGGTTCTTTGCTTTTTAAAAATTTTTTTAAGGGAGAATAAAAAAGTTCAGTTTTGAAATAGTTTCTAAGTGTTCTCAGTTTTCATAAAATAAGTCTGCTCAGATGCTATTGTAATTTGATTTTCATTTTTCCCCATTCAACATAGGTCACATCCTTGAGATTAAGGCTTCAGAAACTTCAAGAAGCAGCAGTCGAAAATGAGAATTATGGTAAAGGTGAGTTTTAGTTCGTTTATTTCTTTTTTTCCTGTAATGTTTTGCTTCTCTTTCCCTCCTTCTGCACCCCAAATGAATGGTGCGGTCTGTTCCTCCGATCGTCTCCACTGCAGACAGCTGACTGTCTTGGATTTCAGATCTTTATAGGCATTAATCCTTCAGGTTATAAGTATAACCTTATTGATTGCCCAGAAACGCTTGTAAAAATGATATTAACTCCTCTTCTGCCTGCCTGTAGTGCGGTACATCTATAATTCATTCATTCATCAAAACATATTTGTTGAGCACCTACTGTGTGCTAGGTAGCACGGCAGACAACAGGAAAGTAAGGCAGACATGGTATCTGCCCTTGTGATGCTGGTCAATGTAGGTCCTCATGAGGCTTTGTGACTTCACACTCTCTGGGACCAGAGAGGGCAAATGGGGTGAATTCAAAAGATGTCAGCCTGTGCCAAAGGGGTCACAGGCATCAGATTTCCACATACGTGGCCTGACATACTCAAAGTAGAAAGAGGTAGCACGGCAGACAACAGGAAAGTAAGGCAGACATGGTATCTGCCCTTGTGATGCTGGTCAACGTAGGTCCTCATGAGGCTTTGTGACTTCACACTCTCTGGGACCAGAGAGGGCAAATGGGGTGAATTCAAAAGATGCCAGCCTGTGCCAAAGGGGTCACAGGCATCAGATTTCCACATACGTGGCCTGACATACTCAAAGTAGAAAGAGGAAGTTGCAACATGAGGCCAGAAGACAGAGGAGCTGGTCAGAGGCCAGGAAAACATTGAAAATGAGGCGCTGAAATAGCAGCTGGGCCAGCAGCAGGTGAGGGTTGGCAGGGGCTGAATCGGCACAGGGTAGACCAAGCCAGAGGGGGCTTTCAGGGGTGGCTGGCCTGGGAAGACTCATGAAGACTTTATTTTTTATTTTTATTTTTTTTTGTCTTTTTTCCGTGTGCGGCAACGGATCGCAACCCTCAGTGTTGCCCCCATACCGGACCGGGGACCGGCAACGGGATTGCAACCCTCGGTGTCGCTCCCGTGCCTCGCTCAGCCAGTGAGCGGGAACCGGTCTGTATGTGGGATCCGAACCCTCGGGCGGGAGCGCCGCCACGCTTCCCAAGCGGTGCACTATCCAGTGCGCCACCAGGCCGGCCCCAAGACTTTAGATGCTGATAACAAGACCTCACACCCGCTGCTGCTGGGTGTGGGAAAGAGGGAGCGTTTAGAGTGATTCCCGAGTGCCCGCAACACCTGCAAACTTGACAGATGCTCCTGGAGATGACCGAGGCCAGCACCCCCAGGACTGGGCTGGACATGGGATGTGGAGTCACGGTTCCTCCGGACACTGGTTAGCCTTAAGGCTCAAGCCTCCCACCTTGCTGGCCCATGTTCTGAATACGTCGCAGACCACTGGGATCAGGGCACCACAGGAATGAGGCGAGCAATTTCCAAAGAAGGTTGGAAATCCTGTTCTAGGAAGGTCCAGAGCTGCTGCTGTCTTGTGTTCTCGTGACACACACCACAGAGGTTGGGTTTATAAAGTGACAGGGCGTGGGAGGAGGGAGAGGAACCGGGGATGGAGGCAGGACTCTTGACTCCCCCACTCTTTTTTATTTCCTAGTGAGGCGGTCGGGGGGGGGGGGCCTGAGAGGAGGCGGGTCTGGGTGAGGGGTGTACCCTGCACTGCGAATGACACATGCTTCTGCAGCACCCCATGACTGCATTCGTCAGTCTTCTGTTCCCTGTCTGAGTCCTGGCCACTCTGCTTTTAATGACACAGCTCTTGGTGTAAACACGAAGCTTAGGACACAGGTGGAAAACCAGGCCCACTTTTTCTGCTCAAGACCAGGTGAACTTTCTGGATTTGGTTCTCTCCATGGGTTTCATTAAACGAAGACCTCGCTTCTTTAGTCTTTTCTTCAAACAACTCTGAAACACCCAAGGGAGCGAGGTTAGATAGGACCCATCTCCGCAGAGAAAATGAAGCTCATGCACCTTTATTTAGTGTTTCTGCCCGGTTTGTTCTTGTCTGTTGTCACTGCCCACTGAGTCAGTTCTGGTGTTTTCACAGCCTTGCAGGTGGCTGGGGTGGATGTTTGAGAAGGTCCTGGTGCAGGGCTTTCCTCCACGGAGAGCCAGGCCCACAGGGCTGCAGCCGGCCGGGTCCTGGAGGTGGGTTTTGTCTGTCGGCCACATCACTCCTGATCCAGAAGGTGTCGTGGGGTGGAGAAACACCCTGGTAGGCTCCTAACACACCGAATCACAGCCACCATCATTCTGTTTGAACCCCCCACACCCGCAAGCCTGGTTCGGTGTGTGGAGAGGTGAATGTTTCTGCAAATGTGCAGGGTGCCCAGCCTGTGGCAGGCGGGCGCTCAGTGCACATGCGTGAGGGCATTCAGAAGTGACTTGCTGCCTGAGCGCAGAGAGGCCTGGGGCCAGCCAGAGGGAGCAAAGAGACAGCATCCTGCCACTTGGAGATGGGACATCCCAGCTCATCCGTGTGCCCAGGATGGTGGGGCGGGGGAGGGCGGGCAGGGAGAGATTTTGGTGTAGAAGTTGGCTCATGTGAAAAACATCTGCTGAGCATCCGATGCATGTAACAGCACCTCTCAGACTTCAATGCAGACATGCATCACCTGGGTGGGTGACTGGTTAAAATACAGAGGCCGATTAAGGAGATTGGGGTGGGGCCGGAGACTCCTTTTCTAACAAGCTCCCAAATGATGCCCGCACTGCCAGTGGCCACCCTTCAAAAAGCGCAGGGAGATAAGGGCGTCAGCAGTTTCTTTTCTAAACATATGCCAAGTGCTGTATCCTCAATATTCTCACCTTGAGGAGCGTGCAGTCCAGGAGGGCAGGTGGTGCAGTACACGGTGGTGACAATGCAGCTGCGCATGACATGTCTCTTAAAATAAGGACAGACTAAGGGGTCCTGAAAAGGGAGAAGTTATTTCTGCTAGAGGTTGGGGTGGTGAAGGGTCAGAGCGATGGGGCGTGGAGGTTTAGATGGGCCTTTGGGAATGGGTATGGGGTGCCGGAGGGATGTCCGCAGAGGCAAGGAGGTGGGAAGGCACGTCGCTGCTGGCCACCGTCCAGAAGTCTGGTCATCTCGAAATGAGATTGAAACTGGATGTTTTCAGACATGGGTCACATGTAGGTGATAAACTCTTGTAAATTGATCGCCACGTCATTGAGAACATTTGGACGTCGCTCAGGTGGAGAATTTGTTGTCGTGAGATTTGTTGCAATAAGATTTGAGTGTGATTTCCTTTCCCGTCCAGTTTATCCAGGGTTACTAATAAACGTTCGGAGAATGGGTGAGATTTTAGTGCTCTTCATGTGAACTTGCTTCCGTGCCACCGTGCTCTGCCTGCGGGAGGGCTCTGGCCCAGTCCCAGAGGTTCTCCAGGAGAAGCTAGGGTGTGACCTTGTCTCCCCTGGTTTTTGTTGTTTTTCTCTTTCTTTCTCGTTGCACTCATAAAGATAACTGTGTTCCAGAGAAAAGAGTAATTGGCACGGAATAGAAAGCTCCATGTTTTATCTCATCAAAGTGCTGGCAGATTTACTCGCTCGTGCCTTGTGGGGAAACCTTCTGGGGCTCTGATTACATCTCTCCTCACTAGGGAGGTAAAGCTAATATTTCCTTATCTTCCCACATAAGGCTGGGAGGGCTTATTTGCTTGGGGTCTTTTTCCAAGTGGCTCTATCAGTTCCATGGCATTAATGCATGTCCCATGCTTGTGGTCAGCTGAGGGACAGGTCTGAGACCTCGGGGTCCTATGGGGAGAGGCCGTGGCCCGGACGCTGGAGACGGGCACGGGGCTCAGAGTCATGGCCTGGAGGAGGAAAGGACGGTGTGAGTGACAATCTCCCACTGGGTCACTCTTCCAGAGGTTCCTGCACTGGTTTGTGCCCTGTGTTGTCACCCGTCTGCCCATGTCCCAAGTGAGTGAGGAAGGGTTGTGGGGAGGAAGCGGTGACGTCTGGTGTCAGCACTTCAGTGTGCCATGTGGATGTGGCCTTGAGCACTGCCAGCGTCACCCCACGTGTTTAGAGTTTCCTTCCTGGAGCGAAAGAGGCCGGCCCCGAATGAGTTTCTCCATCCCTTGTCTCCATCAATATGCGTCATGACAGGATTCTAGAATGGCACACACTTGAGGCAGTGAAGGAAACATGATCACGGCAGAGGCCGGGCAGAAAAACACCAGCGTGGGAACGGCTTCTCTCGAAATGAGCGTAATTGTGGCTTTGCTGAATTCTGTCTCCCACAAGGTGTCTCTCTCTGCACCTGCTCTTGGTGATGGTGTGAAGATCGCCCTTCCTTCCTTCCTTCCTTCCTTCCTTCCTTCCTTCCTTCCTTCCTTCCTTCCTTCTGTCCATCTGTGCGGAATCGCCCTCCCCTCCGCATGGGAGCAGCGTCCTGGAGCCTCCCGTTAGAGCCAGGTCCCCTGCCTTCTCTTCATGGAACCGTGCCTGTGGCTGAGCCCTGTGAAGACCTGCAGGTCCCTCTTGAGTGCAGAGCGGAGCGAGCACGGTGGAGCCGCCTCCGGCCACCTTTGCATGCTCAGCACTGCCCGAGTGAGCGCAGTGGGTGCCGTTCAGTGTCCTCGGTGCAGGAACGCTACTCCACGCAGCCTGTACCGTTCCACTTTCCGAGTTAGAAAGTGGCCGGCTTGGCATCTGCTCGGACACACAGTCCAGCAACCCCACCACTCAAGAACTGCAGAGAAAAGAGCGGCCCTGGCACGCCTGGGAACACGCACGTTCCTGCCTCCAGCTCTCTTGAACATGCCCCTGCACCCCCTGCACCCCGGGGCTCTAGAACAGTCTGACTCCTGAACCCTTCTTACCCACGAAAAGTGCCACACGTATGTCTGCAGACACAAATGAGTGACGCTAAGAGTCACTGCGGACAAAGATCTCCACCCTTAATGTACAGAATCATAAATTCTGTAAATAGGAAAAGAAGCAACCAGGGGAAGTAAATGGCCTTTTGTACCTGTCCCTGA